TTTAAAACCCAGAACTTGAGGGGAGGTATAGCTCAGTGGTAAAGTGCATGCTCAGCATGCATGAGGTCCTGGGTTCAATCCCCAGTACCTCCTCTAAAAATAAACAAATAAACGTAATTACCTTCCCCATCAACAAAAAATTTTAAAAATAAATAATAATAATAAAAAAGAAAACCCAGAACTGGAAGATATGGTGAAACTGCCCAAGACTCCTTCTCCTTGAAACCACTACAAAGCTGAAATTAAATAGTAGCAACAATTCAAGCAATCATCATGTTTGTAAATGATCCTATTCCTGCTGAGGAAAACAGTCTTCGCCATTGGGGACAGCGAGTAGGAGACTCACAGAAGGAGAGCTGTTTGAGGATTGGAGGGGGTTCAAGGGAACATGTCAAGACAGAAGACAGGCAATAGGCAAGTGAATGCCTTGGTTCTAAACATTTTATGCATGTACTCTCCTCATGGTTTCCCCTGGATAAATTTGTAGTAAAACCCCTGCCCTCATTTCCCAACATCAAAGGAGGAAATTAGGTTACCTGGATGATGTCACCGTGCAAGGATGGACTCTCTCCTAGAGATGCAATGATGTGTCTCTCCTAGATGTTGAATGATGGAGACTGAAGCTCTATGAGAGGAGAGGGACTGAGTGAAGCACCAGGCTCCTGGGCTACAGGGATCATCTCCGGGAGGAGGCATAGGTGTACTGTTTCTTTACCAGGGAAGGGCTATTGAGTGAGGTTGTCACACACAATTTCTAGTCTCTGTACCTCTGGAGGATCAATATCCAAAGGTCCTCATTGGCCAAATGATTTTATCATCTGGATGGCAGGGCAGTACAAATTCTTAAAGACCAAGAAGATATAATGGAAAAATCCAAAGTGGTTGTTGATTCCCTGATGCTTATGAGGCCAAATGTTCACCATTCACTTCTCCACCTGTTTCTGCTCACATCTGTTTCACGTATAGTGCAACACTGTGATGTGGACACATCATCCTTCTTTAACTGAATTCCAGTATTCCTTTTTCACACACACAAAAAAATATAACCAATGCATATCTATGTAATCAATGATATTAGAAAGCCTGGTTATAATTGTAGGTGTGAAATTTATTTATTTCAGGTTTATAAGAAGGAATGAAATTCTGACACAGGCTACAACATGGATAAACCTTGAAAACATTATGCTACGTGAAATAAGCTAGGCAGAAAAGGACAAATATTGTATGATTTCAGTTATAAAGTACCTAGAATAGGTAAATTCATAAAGATAGAAAGTAGAATGGTGGTTAGAGGGGAGCAGGGGAGAAGGACTGACTTTTGAAGAGTACTGGAATATATTAAATGTTGTTTATTTCTGTACTGAGAATAAAATCACATTGATATTGATGGGGTGATATTGAAATATTTGGAAATATTTCACTGGAAGTTTATTTGCCCTGATTTTTTCATTATATTGGAAGAACAATTCTGAATTTTAATTCTTTTAAAAAATTTTTTAATTGAAGTATCATCAGTTACAATGTGTCAATCTCTGGTGTACAGCTCAATGTCCCAGTCATGCATATATATACATATATTTGTTTTCATCAAATTTTCATTCTTGAGTCACTTGTTTTAATTGCTTACATTTAAAGTGCTTGAATTTCTCAGTCTTTAACTTTTGGATTGTGTTATCCTCTTAAGAAATGCTTAACTTCTCTGAGGTCATAAAAATACCTTCACATACTGTCTTCTGAAATATTTAATCACTTTGACTTTTGTGTTTAACCCATTCTGGAACTAGGAATGGGAAAACTGAGAAGCTAAACTCACTCCACCCCAGCCCCATTCACACATACACACACACACACACACAAACCCAACCAACCAAAAACAAAAAATTAAAAAAGGACGGAAACTAGAGAAATGGAGAATATCTGCCAGATTTCTGAAAGGGATAATTTATGCTCAGGTGGAGAAGGATTCCCTGGAATTTAGAAGACAGAGTAGGATAGGAACCATAAGTGATGAAAGCTGATTGCAAATTGGACGGAGGCAGGAAAGTGCATATAGGAAGAAAAGGATAAAAAATTTGGAATCTCATATATAACCTAACTCCACTGAACCTTCTCTTACCTCTTGGATGTCCTCCAGACAGGCTGGTTAAAAAAGATAAATTGTTCAATGCACTTCTCACTGCATTTATTGGGGGCACTTCAGATTACACTGGAGCCATCCATGAGTAATTCACCTTTCCTCTGGATATTGAAAGACGGGGATAGAAAATCTGTCCCTAGGAAGGGCAGGTGGTCCAAGTAAGGAAATCGGCTCCTGGGCAAGAGGGAATACCTCAGAAGGAGACAGCAGTGTGCTGTTTCCTGACCTGAGTAGGGCTGTTGAGTAGAACGGTCACAGGTAGACTATTTGCCGTCTCTGTGACCCCAGGGGCTCAATTTCCAAAGCTCCTCATTAGCCAAATGTGTACTGTCGTTTCTTCCCCAAGGCAGCTCAGATCCTTAAGGAGCACAACTCTTAGAAGGGAGAACTCCTGGATGGCTGGCTTCCTGACCCTAAGAGGACGGGTATTTGTCAGTTTCTTCCTACCTATTTCTTCTCACCTCCAGGGAAACTCATTCTGGGATTCTTGGATCTACCCTGAAGGGAAGAGATGGGCTTCTCCTTAGACCAATTCCCAGCCTTCTCTGAGCCAGAGATGATCACTAAAGGACCAGAGAACCAGGGTGGTGTAAGTCCCCACAGGGACAGAGCCTCAGAGATGTGAAGAATGTATCATGTCATCTTCACTTAAGAAAACTTCTCCTTTCTTAAAGTCCCTATATCAATGACGTTAGTACTACTGCAGGAAAGAAGTAGCAAGGAAACCAATTCACTAATTACTTGGAGAGGCATTTAGAGGTTGCATGAAAAAGACATAAATCAACAACCTCAAAGAAATCACAAAGCAGCACTATCACAAAGGAAACAATTGCTAAACTGACTGCATTAATATTGGGAAACCCTCAGGAACATATAGCAGTGCTCTGTACCACCTCTTCAACTTTCCTCTAAGGGTGAAAGTAGTTCAAAATAAAAGTTTTTAAAATCTTAACAATCAAAATATAGCACTACATACTCATCAAAATGGGCAAAATGCAAAGGGCAATGTGGAATATTGGCAAGATACTGGGAATGTAAATTGGTGCAACTACTTTGGAAAACTGGCAGTATTATATGACCGTATGTATTACATACAGCCCAGAAGCTGCACTCCTAACAAAAATATATACAATTGTGAATCAAAAGATACATACAAAAATGCTCATGGCAGAACTAAACTACCTTAGCTATAAACAACTCAAATGTCCAAAATGGTTAAATGATAAAGTGTTCATATCCATTCCGTGGAAAACTATGCAACACTGGAATTAAACTCCTTCTAAATAAAACAGCAAAAATGAATCCTGAAAACAAAATGTGGAACAGAAGGAGCCAGTCACGAATGATAACATATGGTATCAGGTACAAGAATGCACATAACTCTGCAAACATACCAAAAATGACTGAATTTTACACTTCCCAAGAGGCGGGTATGGTATGTTAAAGTATACCTCAATAAAATTGTTTTAAAAATACATGATTCCATAGAGTACTTACATCATGGTGAGAGGAATCAGGGTGATTGGTGATGGAAAGAGAACATTAAAGACAATTCTCAGGTGCTGACAATGTTGTGTATCTTGACCAGTGTCTGTAGGAGTTAATATAGACTGTTGTACCTATAAAAATTCATGGAGTTGTGCATTCTTGGACATGTTAAATGAAACCAACAAAATGTGCTGTAAAAAGCTCAGAATTCCAAGGAGAATTTAACCATTCATAATCTTCACAGGGAGATTCATTACAGACCTTGTGCAGCAAATGGTAGGTTAGGAGACATAAAGTGTGTAAGTGTATGGATGATATGTAAGCACAGCTTAAGAGATTTATCTGGGAGGAATAAATTAGGAGCTTGCAATTAGCAGATACAAACTACTATATACTAAATAGATAAACAACAAGGTCCTACTGTATATCACAGAGACCCATATTCAATAGCTTGTAATAACCTATAGTGAAAAACATGAAAATAATATAAATAACTGAATGTATATATAACTGAATCACTATCCTGTACACCAGAAACTAACACAACAGTGTAAATCAACTAGCCCTCAATTAAAAAAAAGATGACAGTGATTGATGACAATATAGGAAAAGGGTTCGCAAACGTTGTTGCTGAAAATTAAGTTTGCTGCAACATTTATGAAAAGAAACTGAATAAGATATTTTAAAACTATATACATATGTACTTCAACACCCCTTCTCAAAAAAGCTTTGTTTAATAGGTAAATATCTATTAAACATACATTCCTGTACCAAATACTCAATTTTGTTACCATATATAAAAATTGATTAAAAAAAACTGATCTTCTGTGCACCATACTGGTTGGTGACTGTAGTCAGCTAGAAAAAAACCAAAAACCTTCCACCACCACCACCACCACACCACACACACACCCCCAAAAGAACACACTGAAAACATGGTGGCTTAAAACATTAGGTGTTTATTTTTCTCAAGAAACAAGCCTTAACAATATTAAAAGATTTCCCCTTCAGTGTTATCACAAATCTTCTAAGGGATAATGAATGAATAGATTTTGCAGTCATTGCATAACTTAGGTTTCTTTCACAAATGTATGACTCAGAGGCTTTCTCACATTCCTCACAACCAGATCTCTTTGGTTAGCATTTATTTGGCTGTAAGTCTTAAAGTCTGAAAGTTCACTGAAAGAGGATGCCATTAAAAGGGGATTTATTTTGCATGAGTTCTCTCATGACGCTGAAGGGATAAGGGCTTACTGTAAGTTCGCCCACAAACACTGCATTTATAGGGTTTTTCTCCAGTATGTATTCTTTTGTGCACATTGAGGTTACACTTTACACTGAAGCATTTCCCACACTGATTACACTCATAGGGTTTCTCCCCAGTGTGTGTTCTCTTGTGTATTGTAAGGGACGCATGTCTGCTAAAAGCTTTTCCACACTCACTGCACTTAAAAGGTTTCTTGTCCCTTGTGTGTTTTTTCATATGTCTCCTATAAGATAAGAGACCGCGGAAGGTTTTCCCACATTCCTGACATTCAGGTGTCATCCTCATGTGAATTTTCTTGTGTAAAACAAGGAAAGATTTCACTCTGAAGGCTTTTCCACACTGATTACATGTAAAGGGTCTTTCTCCAGTGTGAATTCGTACATGTTCTTTAAGGCATGAGTGATCCCTGAAAGCTTTCCCACAGTCATTGCACTTACAGGGTCTCTCTCCAGTATGAATCTTCTTGTGTGTGATAAGGGTACAGCTCAGTCTAAAAGCTTTCCCGCACTGATCACATGTGTAGGGTTTCTCTCCAGTATGTATTCTCAGGTGTGTCTTAAGAGATGACTGACTGCTTAGTGCTTTTCCACACTGGCTACATTCAATAGATTTCTCTCCAGTGTGGATTCTCTTATGTCTTTTAAAGTATGGGAGAACACTGAAGGCTTTCCCACAATCACTGCATGTATAGGGTTTCTCCCCAGTATGTGTTATCTGGTGCATCAACAGCCTAGAGCTTCTACTGAAGGTTTTGCTACACTGATTACATTTGTAGGGTTTTTCTTCTGAATGAGTACCCGAGTGTTGCCTGAGAAGTGAGCTGTCTCTGAAGGTTTTCCCACAGTGACGGCACTCATAGGGCTTCTCCCCAGTGTGAATTCTCCTGTGGCGTGTAAGGTAAGAACTGGAGCTGAAGGCTTTCCCACACTGATTACACTTGAAAGGCTTTTCTCCAGTGTGGGTTCTCATGTGCAACTGAATGGACGAGTTGCTCTGTAGCACTTTACCACACTGACTACATGCAAAAGATTTCTCTCCAATGTGATTTTTTTCATGCTTCTCAAGATGTGAGATTGAATTTAAGACTTTCCCATAGTCACTGCATTCATAGGGTTTCTTTCCTCTGCGCTGTCCCTCGTGCACAGCTAAGTAAGGGCTCCTGGTGAAGGCATTTTTATCTTTGTTACATTCATAAGAATTCTCCCCAGGAAGAATTCTCCCGTGTGGCTTAAGATGTGAACAATCTCTGAGGGGTTCTTCAGAGTCAAGGTGTTGATGGGGTTTCTCTCCAGGGAAAATTCTCATATTCTGGGCAATGCTAGATTTCATGCTCAAAGCTTCAACAATTCCACTGCATTTAGTGGGACTGCCTCTGTGAGTTTGTTCCTGTTGATTAAAATATGAGTTTTGATCACAAGATTTATCATGTTCATTATATTGATTGAGAATCTCCCCCAATATAAATTCTGACATGTCTAACAATCACTTTATCAGTATTAGAATTTAACATTTTCCTAGTGAATATGCAGTTTGAGTTTATCAGCTTGAATAAGCTGACTGGTATACCAGATGGCTCCACTGAAGCCTCTTCAGCAGCTTTAACATGAAACTGCCTTAGAATGAATTACATCGTAAACACTGAATATCTAAGTCCATTATGAAAACATTTTCTTTGGAGATTCTCTGTAACCATTTTTGGAGCTAGGTTATGAATCTCCCTCCAATCAACACTTAGAGAATCTGCTGCTTTCTGTTGGTGAAGTGAGTGATACCACTTGCCTCAATCACCCCCTAGTTCTTTTCGGTTATATAGAATTCTAGACTTCTCATGCGGAAGACAAGAAATTACCCCATCTGAATCTTACCTTCTTGCCATTGAGTGTGCATTTCTCCAAAACACCTTGCTTATTCGGTGATTGTTTGGTTTTAAGGAGAATCATTTCACCTGAACAAAGTAGGGGAAAGTTTTGGAAAAGACAAGTGACAATATGTTGACAAAAAGCAGGTAATGCCCAGACCCAATCGGAAACAAACGGGAAACATCACCTCTAGAGCTTCTAGAGCGTGGAGTGGTGAGATGATGATGACAAAAAAAATAAATAAAAAAGGAAGGCCCATGTGGCTTTCCCTTTGATTACTGACCCTAAACGTAGGACAACAATGTGAAAGACGAAGCCACTCATGATGAAAGTAATTAATGGTACCTCCCTTGTTTAGTATTTCACGTCATTTACTAAGGAATGATTCTATCATGACTGAAAGTCATGCTGACAGGTAAAGGCTGTTATTACATATGCAAAGTGGGAAGAATCAGACAATGATTTCAAATGTAAATACCAAAGAGCAAGCCAGGTCTTTCTCTCAAAGCACAGGAAAGTATGAAATGATAGGTAAAAAGTGAAAGATGAGGGGAAGCTGAAACTACACGAGGAAGAGCACACCACATGGTCTCTGCTTTCCCCTTAAATGTAAAGGGTATTTTTTTAAGTTTCTTAACTGCCATCTCATAATGTACCTCCTCCTCACCCCAACCAGACCTGGTAGGCAAGACATTCACAGATGACCACGGCTCACCTGGACAGCTGTCTTGGTGAGTCCTTCTCTCTGCTGCCTCCATGTCATCTTCCTGCTCCATCTGGGTGATGAGAGGAGGTTTGCTGAGTTGATGTCCTGTAATTGGGAACAATACACATGACAGGACCATGCAGAGTACAGCAAAAACTGTCAAACTGTGGTGACCACTTGGTCTTTGAGGTTCTGAAGATGGGCAATTGTGACTTCACAGGCAGCAAAATGATGACAAACTTCTAATAGAGAAGGCAAAAGTAAAGCATTTGGAAGATCAACTTCCAGAATGATAGAATGAGGACCATGGCTAACTTGCCCTCCCACTAAAACAACAAATGATGGTGTGGGCAAAACTAGAATCAATCATTTCAGAACTTTGGAGATTAACCAAAGCAACAAATGGAAAACTGTCTATCCAAAAGAAATGACTGGATCCTGCTAAGAGAGGCTCTGTGACATTTAAGAATACTCCCATACCTCTGCCCTCCCCAGCTCGGTGGCACCGTGGCCAACACCAGCAGCCTTACACTCAACAGAGAGGTCCGACTGCTTTGGGAACTCTGTTAAAAGAACCATCCCCAGAACAGTCAATCAATCAATATATTTTTTTCTAAACTTGCAGCTCTCTAGAAAATTTCTACACTCAGGGTATTGTGGCTATTTTATTTTACTCAGAACTCAGCCTAGAAGGAAAAAAAAAAGCCCTTAACTTCAAGGTATTACCAAAACAATAGCAACCTGGAGTAACATTCCCAAATGCTTAAGGCTGTGATTTTACAGAAGACTGGATGGAAATTTGAAAGGAAAACCAAGAGAACCAGAAAACATGGAATTTTGAAAAGCTCCAACAAGTTCCTGGGGATCTAAAAGGCTAAGTGCATGAGCAAGGTGACGGACGTGCCCAGGAAAGATCCAGGAAAGAGTAAGTCCCAAGTCACTCACCTTCGGTTGACTTTAAAGACCCTGTCCAAGCAGGAAGTGAGCGCTAAGACTGTCTTATTAGTTGCCTGGAGCTTAAAGCTGTGACTTTCCTGTAGATCCCCTTGGGAAAGGGTGGAAGAGATACAGGCAAGGCATTTAAGAAAATCTTTACCAATCACTGGTGGACGATTAAACTATAATGACCAGCTAGTGACTCCCAGAAGTCAGGCTTTTAAATATGTGCTTAAAAAAAACACGAGGAGAATACACTGTGGCTGCATACTGCAGGGAATACAGAATCTGGAATTCGCCTAGAAAAGTCACTAAACAAATAAGCACCAAAAAGGAAAAAAGGAAAAAAAAGACAGCAATGAAACCAAATCCCCCTAAAACTGAGTTCCCCTATCAAGCCTACGATTAATCTATCAGGGACTTCATGCTCTTTCTTTCTTATCCCCTCTGACCTCAATCCTGTGCTATCTGAACATCAGATGACTAAAACTGCTGTTTTTGACAACATTATTAATGTACTAAAGTTGCTATTATAAATATCATGATTAACGTACAAACTCAGGTTGTTTCTCCAGGGCAAGAGGAGCTAACAGACTCCCAAATCACGGACCCAGCCACAGAATCTTAAACCAGAGACATCCTGACTCTGAAACTATGATTAAGAAATGTCATAAGGTGATGATTAACCTCAGCCTCTTTGTTCTTCATCTTTTAAAAAACCCCTCACTCAAAGACCAGATTGGAGTAGAACTGAGGCTTTTCTCCCACTCTCTTGATTGGTGCCCTGCAATAAATATTACCTTGCCGTAACCCAGTGTCAGTAGATTGACTTTGCTGTGCATCAGGGGAATGGACCAGAGTTTGGCTCGGTAACAGCAACAACAAACGTTGATGGTAAGAGGATCCACTACTAAAGTTGGTAAATAATTTAAAACGTCCAGTTTTCAACAACAAAAAAATGAGGCGTGCAAAGAAATAGGGAATTATCCCACATATACAGGAGGAAGACAAGCAGCCAACAGAAAATGTCCTTGAGGGTCCCAGATTTCAGATTTAGCAGACAAAGATTTAAAAATATCTATCATAAATATATTTGGTGGGGAGGGTATAGCTCAGTGGTAGAGTGCGTGCCTAGCATGCACGAGGTCGTGGGTTCAACCCTGGTACCTCCACCAAAAGTTATAAATAAATAGATAAACCTAATTACCTACCCCCACAAATATTTTTAATTAAAAAATTTTTAAACAAATAAATATACTTAATGGAAAAAGACTGAAAACTTTCCTTCTAAGATGAGGAACAAGAAAGGGATATTCACTTTGGCCACTTCTAATCCACAGTATCCTGGGGTGCCTAGCCAGAGCAGTTAGGCAAGGAAAAAAGAAATAAAATGCATCCACATTACAAAGGAGAAAAACTGTCTCTATTTCCAGGTGTCATGAGCTTGTAAATATAAAATCTGAATGAATTCACAAAAAACCTATTAGAACTAATAAATTCAACACATTGCAAGGTAAAAAGTTGTATACAAAAATCAACTGTATCTCCATACAACAACGATGAACATGCCGAAAATGAAATCAAGGAAACAATTCCATGGCGATCACTTTGTAATGTACAAAAATATCAAAACCATTGTGCTGTGTACCAGGAACTAACACAGTGTTATAGTCAATCATACTTTAAAAACAAACTCAGAAAAAAAGAGATCAGATTTGTGATTATCAAGGGGTGGGAGGTTGAGGGAGGGAGAATTAAAAGAGGGTGGTCAAAAGGTACAGACTTTCAGGTATAAGATAGGTAAATACTAGGGGTGAAACGTACAGCATGATTAATATAATTAACACTGCTGAGTGTTAAATGAAATTTGAGAGTAAATTCTGAGTTCTTACCACAAGGAAAAACATTTTTTCTTTTACTCTGTAACTATGAGATGATGGATGTTCACTAAACTTAATCATTTTATGATGTATGTAAGTCAAACCATTATGCTATGTACCTTAAACTTTTGCAGTCTTGTATGCCATTACACCTCAATAAAATTGGAAGAAAAATTTAAAAATTTTAAATTTGAAAATTAAAAAGGAAAACAATTCCATTGCCAAAGTATCATAAAGAAAATACTTAGGAATAAATTTAACAAAAGAAGTCGAAGTCTTAGATGTTGAAAACTACAAAACACTGTTGACAGAACTGAAAGAAGACCTCAACAAAAATCTCACCTGGATTATTTGCAAAAATTGACAGGCTAACCCTAAAGTTCATACGAAAATGCAAGGGATCCAGAATAGTCAAAACAATCTTGAAAAAGAGAAGTAAAGTTGGAGAACTCACATTTCCCAATTTCAAACTTACTACAAAGCTCAGCAATCAATAGCATTGAACTGGCATAGGGTAACACAAACCATTGGAATAAAATTGAGTCCAGAAAAAAATACATAAATTTGTACATAACTTTGACTTTATCAAAGTTTAAAACTTCTTTTTTCAAGCATTATTTTTAAATTTTGGTGGGGATAATTAGGTTTATTTATTTATTTAAATGGAGGTACTGGGGATTGAACCTGGGACCTCATGCATACTAACCATGCACTCTACCACTGAGCTACACCCTCCTCTCCAAATTTAAAACTTTAATGCTGCAAATGATACCATCAAAAAAGTGAAAAGGCAACACAGAGAATGAAGGAAAATATATATCTGAAAAGGGATTTGTATCTTGAATATATAAAGAACCTTCACAACTCAGTAGGAACAAAAAAAAAGACAATCCAAATTTTAACTGAGCACAGGATTTAAATGGATGTTTTTCCAAAGAAGATACACAAATGGTCAATAAGCACATGAGAAGATGCTCAACCTTAATCATTAGAGAAATGCCAATCCAAACCACAATGAGATTCCATTTCACAACTGCTAGAATGTCTATAATCCGAGAGACAGGAAATAATAAGTAAAACTGTGGAGAATTAGGAACCTGCATACATTGAGGGAATGTAAAATGATATAACCAGTTTGGAAAACAGTCTGGCAGTTCCTCAAAATGTTAAGCATAGAGTTAACAAAAAACCTAGCAATTTTACTTCTAGGCACAGCCAAGCCAAACATGTCCTTACAAAAATCTGTATGTGAATGTTTGTAGCAGCATCATTCATAATAGCAAAGTGTCAAAGATCCAAACGTCCATCAACTCATGAAAAGATAAACAAAACATGGTAGAACTACATATGAGAATATTATGCAGCAATAAACAGGAATTCAGTACTGATACACGCTACAACACGGATGAATCCCGAAAATATTATGCTAAGTGAAAGAAGTAAGTCCCAAAAGACCACATGTGGTACGAGTCTATTAATATGAAATGCTGAATAGGCAAATCTACAGAAAAGGAAAGTAGCTGGGGGGAGGGTATAGCTCAAGTGGTAGAGCGCCTGCTTAACATACATGAGGTCCCGGGTTCAATTCCCAGTACCTCCTCCAAACAGAAATAAACAAATAAACCTACCAAAAAAAAAGTTAAAAAAAAACTTGGGAAAAAAAAAACAGGAAAGAAGATTAGTTGTCACCACGGGTTGCAGGAAGGGAAGAATGAAACACCCTGTAGGCAGGGCAATGAAAATATTCTGGAATTTGTGGTGATGGCTGCACAACTCAATGAATATAATAAAAACAAAACATTGTTCTGTATACTTTTAAGCGGGTAAATGATGGTATATGAAATTATATCTCAATATAGCTGTTTTTCTTAAAGGCCCACAGTCTGCATCACAAGGTGACTGGGGCTTGCTCATCCCAGAAATCCATGCCCCAACTCAGTAAATCAATCCCAGGGTCCTGCCAGACTTACCCAGCCAAGCCAGGTTTCTATAGTTCTCCAGCATCACATCTCTGTACAGTTTTCTCTGAGAAGAATTCAGCAATGTCCACTCTTCCTGGGTGAAGTCCATGGCCACATCCTCAAAGGTTATTGAGTTCTAAAATATCAACACATTCTGTCTCAACCAGCAACCAACCCTAAAAGTGTTCCTGGGGCGGGGGTCACAGGTAACAGTGCTAGAGATGGAAGACTCTTTCACAGTAAACTCAAGATTCTGAGGTTTCTTTATTCAAGCCAGGACGCAGTTCTCAGAATCTCCCCTTCTCTATTCATGTCCACTCCTTAAGGGATCTCATCGAGGCAAGGATTTAAGGCATCTCTAACACATGATGAAATATGTCTCTTCATCCCTAACCTGCGAGTTTTCACAGTCTTACTAACTTCTATCTTCAGAGTCAGAGACATGAACACACAGCAAGAATGAGAGAAATGTTTGCTAAATGAAAAAATTATTTCCCAAGAGTGGCCACACATTTTCTGAAGCTAAGACAGTCTTACAACCTCCTTTTACTTTTTACTTATTTTACTAACAGGACTAAGCAGGAGGGATGCCTAAAAAGTGTAACTAGCAGGGTAATAGATTAATTTTTTTTGGAAGTCCCTGAACCATCATAAGTCTCAAAACGCAGGTTGGGTTGTGAGGTTCCAGAGTACTGGAAGGAGATGCATTCACCTTAGGGAATGGGAAGTATTTTAGGAGAAAGAAAAAGTTTTAACTCACCTGTAACCCAGAGTGGAAGTTTTCTACCTCTGTGATTCTCTCATGGGCACAGGAAGGGTCTTGAACGGGCAGAGCTAGAGAAGAGGGTGCCATGAGCATCTAGACACATGCGTTATTGCAAACATTCACGAGGCTCGAAATTGTCCGACATCACCTGAGTCACACATACACCCACAAACACACACACGCAATATGCATATTAGCCAGAGCAATCTTCTCCAACCAGAGTCAGAAAATAGGGTACTTTGCTATCCATGAGAAATGGATTTATAGTCTCAATTTTCTTAGAAAGGAAACTGAAATTCAGAAAGGTTGAATTGTTATCTTTCCCAGATTTATAAAACAAATAAATGGGATAAGGAAATGCCATCCCTAAATTTTCTCCCCTCTCCCCACCATGCACATGTGCCCTTCCTCCAGGGCCCCAAAAGGGCGCTGAATCAGCCATGAGCAAACTCTGGGGCTCCAAGGGTTCACAGAGCTCCATCCCCACCTCCTCTCATTTCAACCCCTTCTTCTCAGTTCTCTGTGGCTACTCAGCTCCCTTCCTTTGTGCCCACTCTAAGGTGCAGAGTCCACTTAATCCTGGTGAAGTCAATCTACCAAATATTGTGGACAGATGTAAGTCTGCCATCCTGCAAGTCTGTAAGTAGTAAATATGCACAGACAGCAACCAGGAGACCAAGAGCTCCTCTTCTTGTTCCTATGGTCCGCTCCAGGCAGGGCTCTGAAATGAAGAAACATTAACAGGAGAATTAACGTGCTTTCTGTGTCTCCGTGGCACTTAGGACAATTTCATCACAGTGCATCAGGATGTGTTCCTTTCAGATTCAAGCTGTCATTGATCCTGGGTCTTTGTTTTGCATGTCATGTACAACCTAAAAACAATATGGTGGGTATTCTTGACTTTCCCAGCCCTAATGTATATCCTCTACATTATCAAACCACATTACCCACCACTTATCAAAAATCCCATCTCCACTGAAATCCTTCACTGGCTTCTCAACCTATTAGCACCAACATATAGGCCTGACCTATTAAAGTCACTGACACCTGACTCCCATTCATCATTTGAACTCCCATCCCTGCTTTGATTCAATACGATTTCATGTTCTTGGGCATAAACTAGCAAACACCCATGGCTTCCACATCTCAAGCACACACTTTCAACTTACCATCACTTGAGACTCCTGCCCTCTCCAAGGCAAAAAGTCAGACATCCCACTTTCTGAACACGGTACCTAAACATCCAACTTGTTCAGGTTTCAGTTCGTATTCCATCCGCTCTCCTACCTCATAGAAGCTTCCAAGCTACCCATCCCTCCTATCTTGCTATTTATAACCCTCACTTATTTGGCACTACATGAGATGCCATGGGCCGTCACTTCAACAATGTATTTTCCAAAACCTCAAATTCCTCTCTGCCCTATCGTAACACCTGGCTTGAATAATTCCAACCATTGTCTATTCTGCCTGGGTAAGTCTTACCCAACCAGCTATACGGGAAGCACTAAAAGTTTCAGGCCACATACCCTAAACACTAAGGAAAAGCCCAACAGGCAATTCAATCTCCTAGTTCCCTAAGACCTTTTCACAGTTTCTCCAAGATTTTGAATTCCGTATGGTCTCAACTTTGCCTCTTCAATAGCAATGATCTTACTTACATCTTACTTTCCAGAGAAACTATAACAACGATGAGAAAGATTTCTCATCTTCTTGCCACTAGTTCAAAAGTAGTTCCACAACAGCATGGTTTCTTGCACTTTGCAAACAAGGATGTCTGCCTTCTTATCTAAAGTCAGCATCTCCTACTTTGCTATGCCAGGTTTCCCATCCATGGCACCACTGACATTAGGAGCTGGACACTTGGTTATGGGGGTAACATCCTGCACATTATAGGATGCTTAGCCGCATTGTTGAACTTTACCCACTAGATGGCAGCAGTATCTCTTCCAGTTGTGAAGTGGGCGGAGTGTTTCCCGGTCTTACCAAATGGCCCTTAGGGGACAGTTGCCCTGCCAGGATCCACTGATCTAATCACTATCTTCTCAGAAAACCTGCTTTATTAATTATTCCTTTGTTCTCTTCCATCACCATCAACTTCTACTCCACTGTCCTCATACCTTTAACACTGAAACGTAATCAAGTATCTCCCATCTTGAAACAAATTCATGCCTCGAGACCCACTTAACCTTCCAGTTACTGCTCAATCTCTCTTCCTTTCCACCAAACTTCTTGAAGGAGTATCTACCCTCTCATCCTCTCCATTTCTTCACCTCCCTTAACACTCCAACCTGGTTTCCATCTCACCATCACTTCATTGACACCATTCTGCCAAACTGCCAAGGAATTAGGAGAATTTAAGCCTGTCTTTGACTTAGTCGGTCCCTCAGAAATTCCATCACTACTCTCTTCTATAAATTATTCTCTTCCCTGGGCTTTCGTGACCACAGTCTTATCTCTCTGGTCATTCTCTTACAGACTCCTCTACAGTCTCCTCTCCCACTGTTGACTGTCTTCAAGGCTCAGTCCTGGCCCCTACTTCTTGCCTTATTCTGTGTGTTCTGTATTCTATAAGCATTCCTTTGAACTTAATTTCTATCTCTATGCACATTATACCCAAATCGCCAGTTTGATATCTCAAATTTAAGCTTTAGAGCCATATAGCCTGTTGCCTTTTCAACTATGGCCATCTAACATTTTTTGTAGGCACCTCTGATGAAACTTATCAGGCGGAACCTATCTCTTCCAAAGAACCTTCACTTCAAACACTTGCGCTAGGTATTCAGAGCAGGCAGAAGGCATCCTTGGTATCACACCCTTTACCCCACCCCGCAGCTATTGTTAACTGAAACTGAAGATTCATTATTCGATAAGCCCTTCTCCTCTCCTGTGGACTGGAGTCAATTAAAACCCACAGAATCCTTGACTCCTTTGCCTCAGCCCAAAATAGACACTGAAATTTTAAAATAGAGGCTCTCTCTCCCCCATCCTCTAAAGGCAGCAATCACCCGAACCTAAAATTATTTCTTTATAGACTTCTCCACGCTACCACAGTAGAAACCGACACTCGGACTAATCCAAGCCACGACCTTCTCTCTGGATCCACCCAAATCTGATCATTTAATGATGCTTTCTCCAGAAAAATCCTCCCAACTACTGAGCTGTCCCGCCTGCCCCCATCCCCTGCCACACAAGGATGATTCTTCCTTGTTATTTTTCTGTCCGTTTAAATGACATTTCCTCAGAATCACCTTTATTGTGAGCCCCACATTCAATATAAAGCCAGTCTCCTCCTGTGTTATTGTCTAAGAGCTCTTTCTATTCTCCTAAGTAGCCATCATCACAATTTATAATTATATATTTAGTTCTTTGCTTACTTATATTCTTCCTCTTCCACCAGATTATAATGTCCAAGAGAGTGGTCTTATTAAAACCCTGTGCCCAGTCACTAGCACATCACCAGCCACTTTGTAAAGCATACAGTATTCTGGGTGAAGAAATTAATGAGTACGGATTGCACCTTCAATCCAGCGTCATCACTTTGTTCTACTTTGCAACCATCAGGAGTCTAGATGACCACCACTCATTCCTAAACTCAATACTCCTCCTTTTCTCCAACAGTCAAGTTCATCCATCAGTACTCCAGCCTCACCATGCTGCTGACTGCTAAACACAGATCTAATCGTTGGTGCCCCTGTTCACAATGGCTTCCTACCAGCCTTGAAATTAAGCCTTAAACTTGCTTTCAAGATTACAGGTCATGTGGCTGGGACTCTTGCAATCTAGTTCACCTTTCTCCTCTCTTGTTTTTTTTTTTTTCAGCCAAGTCCTGTCTTGCTCACTTCCTGATACAGTCCCAGCTCTAAGCTGCTCCCAGGATTTTGCATGTGCAGAGCCCTCCTGCTAAAATGCCCTGCCTATTCCTAACCCCAACACAGCCCAGCCCATCGCCTGACTGTATCCCAGTCATTTCTAAGATTGCAGATTGCGGCTTCCAAAACTTTTTTTTCCAAGAGACTTTCTGAACCCTTAGATTGAGTCCTCCACTGACACGGCCTCATTTAAAATAACTCAAAATCAGCTATCACATACACCTAGGCTTAATGGCTGCGCTGCAAACTCCAGGGGACCAAACCCTTATAAATTCTGTTTGCCATTGTACCCATGGGACTGAGCAAACTGTAACAAGCTCAGAGCAGGCATGTAATAAATATTCGTAGACCACCGACAGGCAACAAAAACTCCCCTGAGAATCTTCTAGTGTGAACACACAAAATGATATGTTACTGACACGTATGTGACAGTAAATGATAAAAGCAATGACATCTATTAGTGAGTTTTTAAAATAATGTGAATTCTATTCAAGTAAAAGAGGCATCAAATTCTTACTCTTGTAACCAAATCTCTTGCATTTAAAACCAAAGTTGAAAAAAAAAGTTGATACTTAATTGGTCTTCATTATGTTTTATCTGGTGGTGGTGGGAGGATAAATATTTAATTAACACAACACTAGGTCAAAACTCATTCCATACAGAGTCAACTGAACTCTAATTTCAGGTAGTACCTTCATGAAATTTGCATCACTTGTTTAAGAATCTCTTGACTTTCCAGTGTGGGGAGTTGTTACATCAGCTGAGCTTGCTTGACCTCTTGAGAGTAGAACTCATGATTAAAAAGGTAATCGATTGCCCACCTGACACCCTGTGCACAAAACTTATGTGGATGAAAAGTTGATGCCCGCCATCTGCCTCTACAAGGATGAAGTCACTAGTCACTGCGGTCACTGACCTTCAACAGACACAGAAAGGAGTGCAGGGAGGAAGGAGATCAGGAATGAGGCACGCTGCGCTCTGGGAAAAACTGGCAGAACAGGCTTTCAGATAGTTAGATATTCTTTGGGAGATTTTATGAGCCCAATTTCTTGCATCTTCTCATAGTTAGAAAAGCACTACAATCATTAACAGAGACATCTGCCCCTCGTGACGAGCAGCAACCCCTAGCAACGTCCTGCCAAAAGCGTGTGCTCCATTGCACGTATCCCCCCTTCACTAAAATCACATATATACTGACTGCCCTCCACCTCTGCTTCGGAGCAGTTCCCCAGAGCTATCTGAGAGGCTGTCTCCTGAACTACAGTCCTCATTTTGCCCTAAATAAAATTTAACTCGCAACTCTCACACTGAGCATTTTTTTTCAGTCGATGCCTACCCAACAAAAACAATTGAAAATTTTCATTTCACAAGATACCTCAACCTCAACACACACCCTGATGTTCATAGTCAGGAGCAAACATTCTGCAGGTTAAGAAGTTATCTTACAAAGTGAAGGGCAGTGGGGAACCCCGCCACAAGTTCTTATTCATTACTTACCAAAACACAGAAAGTCAGCTTGAGCCAGGCTGGTATTCAGACACGTCTCAGCTACAGCAAGCTTTCGGTCTGAATGCGTGCACAAGGTCACCGACTTTTATCTATGATAAAATTGAAAGGATGACAGGATTAAAAGACACACCCTGTTCGCCTGGACTAGATTTACACAGTGAACTTTATATAGGATTATCTTCAGTCCAAAGAATACGCCCTGTTTACCCTAATTTCTTTTAATTGTGTTAAGTGAGGACGCCAAGCTCAGTCCTCCTTAGCATCTGCAGCGCCTTTTGTAAAATGGCCCAGCTCCTTCGGATTCCACTAGTTCCACAACTTCGGATTC